CGTACGGGGAGACTGCTCTGCCCTGCCCTGCCCTGCTCGGGCCCGTATTTCCCGGGCAGCTGCGAAAGCTGAACTGTCGAAACTGGAGCTTTCGGCAGCTCTGTGCATTTGAAAAACATTTGTAGTGTGTCATGGGAAACCGTGTGTGGAGGGGTCATTTCAGTATATCAAGAGAAGACCTGTGCCAATTCTGTGGCAGAGCGCGTTAAGGAAGGCTACCTGCTTCTCATGTTTGCGCGTTTGTGTGTGGTGTCAATACAAAAATTAATGAAACTCCAGCGTCCCGTGGTTAAGAGCCAGGGAATACTTAGAGTAGTAACACAAACTTTACCAGAATCTATGGAAGTTGTGGGATGCGCTCCTCGTTGCTGCTCTGCCCTTCAGAAGTTCTTAGTGGGTGTGTGCTTGCTGCTGAGGTCTTTTCAGAGATTTAGGGTACAGGATCTTTCTGACCCTGTGCATCTGGTGTTCAGGAGCATTAACCTTCCTTTATTTTTGTACCTGTGTGCGCCTGGACTATTTGAAGAGAAGTAAAAGCTTTACAGGTTTCCCAGTCAGAAATCACTTGGTTTTAGTTATGCTTCCTCTTCCTTTACCTATGATACTGTAGTCTTACCAAAAATCATTAACTTGCTTAAGCCATTTGTTGCTTAAGAAATATACTGTAAACTCTAAGCATCCGGTTTTGTAGTTGTAAGTGAAAAGTACTGCTCGCACATTAACTATTCCTTAGGATGCTTACAAGTTATCATTTAAAAAAAATCAGTTTGATAGAAAACAAAGGGAACAGTTAAAGTAGTCAGAATTATATCACTGTTTGTGATGAGGTGTGCGAGTTGCCAAATGCAACTTATTTTTGTTTATGAAAACAAAAATGGAAAAGAAATTTGCCAGTAAATGATAGTCAGAATTACCAGTTTTCCAGCACTGGGCAAGGTAACATTTGCTAGAATATATTTGAGATAAAAATTATACTCAAGTTGTAATTGTAAGTGATGTTGTTTGACAGTCATTTACTAAACAGCTGTATAGAAAGAAATGAAGTACTTCAGGGAAATTGAGATACTATTCTAAATTCTAAGTTGTAGCACTTAATAGCAGCTCCTTGTCAAAGTACGAAGAGTAGATATGTTTAGGTTCTGTAGACAGTTCAGGTCGCATACTGCATCCATGAAATGTTCTTTAATTTTTTTCTTTGGTCTTTTTATTTAAAGTGTGAATTAGGTCTTTCTATATTGCAAGTTAGTTTATGAGTTGGTGTTTTTTGTTGGTGTTTTTTTTTTTTTAATTAGCAGCCTCTGTCAAAATACAAATAGGGAGGATAGGTGTCAAAAAAAGGACATGTTACATTAAAGCATGGTCTATTTTGTAGCCTTAAATTGGAGTGTGAGAAACTGGCAAGTGAAAAGACGGAAATGCAGAGGCATTATGTGATGGTAAGTATATTTGTTTTTTATCTTTATTTCAGTAAATATCTCCTCTAATACAATGTAAGTCAGCATAAGAAAATAACGTATGCTCATTTATTTGCAGTACTATGAAATGTCGTATGGATTAAACATTGAAATGCACAAACAGGTAAGACATTTTGTTTTCTAAGCCACAAAATCTGCATTTAAATGTGTGGTGCATTTAAATGTACCTGTGCTGTTTATGCTCCGATGACTGTATCATGTCTGAATCGATAGCCTGAATCAATCGCCTGATTAGTAGACCTTTGCCTACCTCCTGTCAGATGAGGTGTAGATTGGGTTAAGCAACAATGCCTTTTTTGGTGTTGCTTCTGAAAGACTGTGGCAAAAAGGAAAGATCTTCTTTTTGTGGTTTTAAAAATGAAGTTCTGTACTTTACAAGTTTGGGGTTTTTTGGGTTGGGTTTTTTTTGTTTGTTTTCTTACTGTTGGAGGCTCTGACATGTAGAACTGATCCTATGTCTGTGTAGCATATGTAGTCATAGTTACTCAAATCCCTGCCTTATAAAGGTATGAAGAGATTAGTGACTTGGAAAGCTCTAGTTATGACTATGAGTTTGCAAGTTCCCATAAAATTCACACTTATGGCCACTATAATGGTGAATAAAAAGAGTATTGAACTGGAACAAGACACTAAGGACCTCATGAGAGAAGAAAAGCTAAATGATTGCACAGCCCAGAGGACCCTCAATTGAGTAGTCATTGTCTGCCAAATAAAGCATTAATGGCAGGGTGTAAGTATTCTGTAGATATGCTGACATTCACTTTTTCATCAAGATGCTAGTACAATAAGTCTTTCAGAAATCGATGGCCTCTTAAAAAAATTATCATTAGATGAAGTTGCACAGTTGGACACATTTCAAAGTGCAACAATACAATTCTTTCTTGATGTGTATGTGCTATTTCATCTAAAACTCTTGTTTCATTAAATTAAAGAGCATGGCTGACCGGCTAGGGCACAGCGAAGAAATTGATTAGTTCAGGCTTCAGATCTTCAGTATATTCAAAGACATTCATTAAGCAAGTGAATTACGGAGTTGAATTTTGCTTTTGTAACTCTGAACTCTTTGAATTTTTTTCGTTGTTTGTTTTGTTTTCCCCTAAAAATATCATACTTGGTAAGATGGCATTGTAATTCCATGATAGCTTTCTGTCTGCAAATCTGGGTAGGTACTTTTAGGGTTTTGGCGGTACACTTGTTTCAATTCAAAATGCCATTAAGAGGAGTCGTATTATGACAACTTTTTTTTTTTTTTTTTTAAAAAACACTAACCAGATGAAATAGCAAGCTTAGTAGTTGACTTGGTTCTGTACTGTAACTTAACTAATTTTCTTGTGGCTTGTGCTTTAGGAGAATGTCAGTTTTTCTGTGAGGTGGCTTTCCATAGCTTTGTGATTTTGAGATTATTTTTTTCTTGCATATTTTCTCTTCAACCAATTCTTGGCATACTGTAACCTGTGAGGAAGCCAGTATCTGGCTAGGAAGCTCATTTGCTACAAAATGGATATAATTTTCAGGAGTTCTTTGAAAAGAATGTGTGATTTCAGTTAGTGTACTAGGAATTAACTTTAGGTAAAATCAATTAAACCCGCAGGGTTAAAGTGGGTGAGGACTAAGGTTTCCACTTTGACCTTAACATATGTATAAAGGTTTAATGTTCTGTATGTATGGCAATTAGAATTATGTACCCAATAGGCAGTGATGCTTCAGAAGCTTTTATGACAGAGCATTATATCTGTGTTAGTTGTAGCTGGGGAGAGTAGTGCACACTTGCTCGGTGCACGCTGTTAAGAAAATAATAGGCTTTTGAAGTTACAAATACATGTCTCTGGATGTGAGTCTCAAATACTATGCTTTTACATATTAAGTAATTCTAATTTCTGGTAAAAGTAGCACCTTCATGCTAAAGGCTATTGATTTAGATGCCTGCAGTGAGGGATGCCAAATGGTGTTGCAGTTCACTGTGTAGGTGGCCTTAGATTACAGGAAGCAAAAAAAATAAAAAAAAGCCTAACAATGACATTCTTCTGAATTTCTGCTGCTAACGATAAGTTCTGAGGAGGCTTTTGACAGATAGTAATCATAATTCTTATTAACTGGTGACGTCTACCCCCAAGGGTGTAGCCAGGCTCAAATTGATGCTTTTTGCTGGCTGATCACCAGCATGGCCTAAGTGCTCATTATGTTGTAGAAAGGGCCTTTGGAGCTCTCATTACATTTGACAGGAATTCTCTCTAGGGGGAAACTGGGCATTAGCTAGACTCCTGACAGGCTGAAATTATTCCTGCTTTATGGCTTATAACCAAATGCTAGCAAGGCATCATCAGGGGACAGGAAAAATTGTCATTTCTGACAACATCTTTGTTACTGGAAAATGCAGTGATGGGGAAACTTTCCAGTGAACAAGCCTTAACATTTTTAAGGTCTTCCTCCTGTTTGGGGGCTGTACTCGCTCTGTGTGAAACTCTTCAGACTGCTAGGGCTGCTGTTTGAAAAACTAAATTACACTGCAGCAGAGCTTATTTATGGAGTGCGGTGTGTACATCACTGTTAAGGTACAGTCACTTAGATAAAATGAAGTACTTGCAGTTAGCCTGCATATAAATGAGTTTGAGTTCTTGCACTGATGGATTTGTGTCAGCAGTTCTGTCTTCATTTAATTTAGTAATCTGTTATAATTTAACTAAAATAAAGTTAGTCAAGACTTGAATGTTGTTACAAGCAGACTTAACTGAAGTGAACTTTGCATATACAAACAGCTGTGCTGGCAGAGCTTTTCACTTGAATTTTGTTGCATTTAAGTCTAGAAATGGCCATGGTAAGGCTTTCCTCACAAATCTAGCTTTGACCCTTTGCAGTGTTCAACTATATGATGTGTGCTTAAATCAAGGTGCTGCTGTGCTTCAATCTACTGCCTGAATAGCGGTCAGGAAATAATCTTTTTGACACTGTTGTGTCTGATTTAGATTAGGTTTTGTTTGTTTCCTTCTTTTTCTGCATAGGTTTTTAAACTTCTCTAAGAATTTCAAAGATTTTTTTTTCTTACGAGCATGTTTTATGTAAACACTTATTCTATGTTCTTAGAAATTATTTTAAGGTGAATAGTAACTGACCAAGTTTTGCATTCCTGAAACACAAACAACCACCTGAGGATTTGTTTAGGAAGATGTGGGTTGATATAGATGTTGTTTTCATATGTGTCAAGACAAAATGAGTAAGAACATTGTGTGGTCTTCAGTTTATTTTCTGTGTTATACTGCCCAAGTGAGATTTTCTCCAGTGTGACATCTGTGGCTGGCAAAGCAGATGAATCAGCTCCTAGTGCCAAGATGAAGAGTTGGTTGGGTGTTAAAAATCCTGCTGTACTTAGAGTTGTTGCCCTTGGCTCGTAGGGCACTGTGTCTTTATTTTTGCCAGCTCTGCTTGTCATCTTCTGTCATAAGTCAGAAGATAAGGTTTCCTGTGCATTTAATGTCTAGATTGGTTAGGTGCAAGATTATCTTTTGTTCACTGGCGGGCAGCCACAGGAAAAAAAATTCATCACTGCTGAACCAAGTGCTAGACTTATAAACTACTACAGTGTCTGGGTTTCTGCTATCCCAACAGTTATGGCAAGGTTTCCTTCTCTTTGGGTGGGTCTTTTTGATCTCTGTGGCCTGACTGCAGGCAGACCTGTCATTCAGTAGCTTGCCTGTTGTAGAAAAGTATACAAACTCCAAAGGTGCATTGTGTTAACCAGTTTTACAGGAGTTACATGCCCATTTTATCCTGGACTGTTCTGTGGAATCATTTCTAATGCTTCATGGCAAAGGACAAAGTCTTCTAATGATATCTCATTAGAACATCAGCCTTCAGGAGAGGGTTAAACAGGAGGGAATTAAGGAGCTTACTTAGCTCTCTGCAGCTCTTGAGTCGGATGGCTTTGCTGTTGAAAAGGATTTAAAGATAAATTAATTTTCTTCTTTTTTTCCTACATTTTAATTATTGGAATGAAAAACTCCTTAAGGTTTTGGTGGTGTGCAGTGAATGTTTCAAGAGCATTTTACAGTTGGCACAGCCACAAAAGACATGCAAAAATTGTTTCTATTTAAAAAAGAAAATGTTAGGATTGATCGTGACAGTATTTTTCCCTGAAAAGATTATACTTATTCTACAAATATTTGGTTTCTGAATGAGTACAATTGTGTCAGCAGCCTAGCCATTTCAACCACAAATAGAGCTGCCAGTTCAAAAGAGGAGAAAAGACTAGAGTAATTGCCTCAACTTTCGTGACTTTTGAACCATGTTTCAAGCTCGAGGCCAGCATTATCGTGAAGGAATTATCTGACAGATTCAGGGCACTGTGAAGTACATCTCCATGTGGCTTTCACATAACCATGTTGTCAGATACCATCTATTATGTCAGCTCCGTATAGAATTTAATTCAAAAGTGTGTCACAGTGTAAACACTGTACATATGTTAAAGAAAGCCTGATCATCTCTCATTTTAGACTTAGTCTACCAGGTTTCAGGTTCCTCACAGAGCCGGAGTGAAGAACACTATGCCTACCTGCTACATTGTTAAACTTGCATTGCTGGAGCTTGTATGGATGGCCATGTCTGTTGATTTACTTTGTGCTTGTGTTCAGTTGGAGGGAAGGAAACAGAAAGTCCTGGTAACTTTCAGGGAAGAATGAGAAGGGAGATGCTTTGTGAATGTGTAATATTCTTTTGTCACAACAGGTTCTGTGGGGAAAGCAAAATGGTTTTCCTCCTTCTGCTGGTTGTTATACTGGCATTTGAATTGCCTTTCATTCCCTCTCTAACTAAGTGTTTGCAGCAAAGTGCTAAAATTGCAGTGTCTACTGTGCAAAATGGAAAATTAGGATACTTTAGGCTCGATAGATCACCATTGGCATACAGTAAAAGCCTTTAAAACCAATTTTGGATCAACCAGCACTTATCAGAAGACTGCACAGCACTGACCTTAAAGATGATGACAGCTTTGAATGGAACTAATAAAATTTATTTTCTACTTGGGGTAGATTTAGGGATATCTAATGGCGATTATATTGAATGCTACTATTGTCACTTTCTGTGTTACACTTACTTGGGTTCTTGGGTGTA